GAGAGCTATCCAGCTGTCTGACGGAAAGCCAAATTCATTCCACCACTGTACCATTCTTGAAAAACACAATTTATTGAGTTTTGACAATTTTAAGTCTTTTAAAAGTATGTTTTTTTGGACTACATTTACATTTTTGGTAGGTCTGAAACAATCTGTGGAAAAAGGTTTGTCTTTTGTGATGTGATCTGTATGTATGATGTACACATGTGTTGCCTTTGTGAACATTATTATATATTATATGTGAACTGCTATTAAAAGACACTGGAAGAACAAAAAGAAGAAGAAGAAGAAGGTTCAGTCCTCCCAGTAGATGGAGACAAAGTAGGCAGAATACATCGAAACCCAGCAAGCTTTTGCCCTTTTGAGTCAAATACAAACATGAACAGGACATCCATGACGTTGTTACATTTTTAAAGATTTATAAGTAATATTTAACCATTTGAGATTAGAAAACAACAGGAAAAGACTGCAAGAGAGAGGAGCTGATCATGGGTTTAAACTCTTTCCTTGCATAAACACTTTTAAAAGTCTGATTGAACTGAGATGGTGCTTGACTCTGAGTCATGTGGACAGCCACTAGAGGGAGTTGTTGGACAAGCAATGAGGCAGCAGTGGGAAGGAGGTTCTTACTTTCAACAGCCCCTAGTAATGGAGCCAGTGGATCCGGCCCTCGCGGAGCCGGGGTCTGATTGTCCCCCCCAGTCGCTCCGCCATCTTAATTGTTGCCATCTTTGCAGGAGTGACTCGCGGCTCAAAATTAGTGCTGTGATAACAGAAGGTTTTAACTCTGTGGATAAGACCGGGCTGAGATCAGGTGAAAATGTGTCTGCATTGATTTTTGTTTGATAGATTCAAAATGTTAGACAGATTATGGTTTTCACTCATTAAAACAAAAGGAAATAATTAAAAACAAACATCTGTTGTTTCAGAAGATTAACTCCTTTACTCTTGATTATTGGCAGCATTGTTGAAATGGACATTTTGCATCATTTATGTCTTTTATCATGAATTGTTCTGCTCCTTTTTGACTTAACAAATCTCCAAATGAAACTCCTTCTCCCTCCTTTCTTCCACACTTTATTAATCACCATGAACTCAAGTCGAGACAGTTCTACCAGCTGGCCAATGGAGGCCCATTCCTTGCTTGCACGCCACTGCACACATGCATATCATTAATAACTTCATTAGCACTTCCTGACTGCAGCCAACACTGAAGTGGATTGGGTTGCCAACTAGCTTGTGAATATGTGTGTGTGTAAGTGTGTGTGTGTGTGTGTGTGTGTGTGTGTGTGTGTGTGTGTGTGTGTGTGTAAGGGGGGGGGGGGTGGCTCTTTACTCTTGATTGCACACCACTTTTTAAATTCAGAGAAACACATCTCCTCTAATACCAGCCTCGCCCTGTGATTGAAACAATGTCTGGTTCTGACACCTCACGCTCTGAGTCCCACCGGGCGTATCAGTGTACGGTAACAGTACCCCTATTAGGATTCAAAAAGAGCTTGATCAAAGATAGACATTGTGCCCACTGCTCCAAGTCCAAGTGTATTATAGCACCAGGTTCTGTTTTAGCATGTAACACAAAGCACCTGAAGATCAAACCTATCTAAATACTGTTTAAATGGTACAATCTCAGGCCGATCTCAACCGGAATTAACCGTCAAAACTGTCTCCTCTCATAACGCGTGGATTGATGACGTTAAAAATCTGGAATATAAAGTAGCTTGTGCTACTTACACAAACTGAATAATAATCACAATTGCACAGAGTGATCTGATTAGTCCCCTGTGAGGAAATGTCCGTCATGAGCAGGATTGCATAGAAGAATCTTTTGAAACTTTGCAAAGCCGCTAAGTTTGTATCTGTAACCCACGTTAGTTTAGTGACCTCATCAGTACACCCACAGTCTTTAGGTCACCACACTCCTCTATAGGAACTTCTGCATAAGAGCAACTCAACCTTACAACACTACGTGATCAGTTTTCTCCACACACTAATACATCTAGTCATTTTATATTTCTTCTATATATTTACTATTGGCAACCAGGAGAAGACCAAAAATAACAAATCCAATTATTGCAGAAATGTCTTGTTCTTAAATACAGATAAAACATTAATTGAAGACTTCATTTGTTATACAATTAAAGACATGTTAATAAGCCACACACTGAATGAAACCATCTATTATGATATAAACTTGGGCATTGGAGTTTACTAAGTCTATACCACATCTTCCTGGTGCATTAATAGTCACTAGAATATCAACTCTGCAAATGAAAATAGTCCCTAATAACAAATAGATATGTTACCCCCATCTAAAGAGTTATAGCTTAAAACCAGAGTGCTAAGTTTAAATAATGTAAATATTTAATACTTTTTTAATGAAGTGATATATTCATGACCATAAAAAAAATAAAAAAATCTGTGTGTTATATAGGCAAGACAAAAAGTAGCCAGTAAGTAGCATATAAGGAGTTGGGCTAAAATATTGTTTATCTTTTTGTCAGATTACCTGACAATCATAAAACATATGACCATCCTTATTCATTTAGAGTCTAACCCAGTAAACTTCCTGCTTTTTAAAGGAATTACAATTTCATTTTGTTGTTTTCCGGTGCACTGAGGGAATCAGCTTTAACCTGTGGGCAGCGCAAGCATACACACACACACACACACACACACACACACACACACACACACACACACACACACACACACACACACACACGCATACACACACACACAGAGACACACACATACACACACACACACACACACACACACACACACACACACACACACACACACACACACACACACACACCATTACATTCTCACTAAATACTTTAACAAAGCTCGCTATTAACCTCCGTGTCATTTCCATTTCAGTATCACGACTATAGGAGCACATTTGGTCGTTCTTTTTTTATTTTAGACAATCATTATTCAGTATTCACCCGATTCACTCACAT